GTCTGGCGCTTGGATTTCATTGAATAGACCTGAGCTGAGACGCGGTGTCGGCACTAATAATGTCTTTCTTGACTTTGAAATTATGTACTTTTAGTTTTAAGAAATCACTTGTCATCTAATCCGCTGATCAAACTATACCTCGAGTGCACAGAATCGGGCCCTTTCTTGAGGTCTGTCCGGATTTATTTTGACAACTCTTGCATTTGCGAACTCTGAGAGTCTGACAATAGTTTCGGACGCAATCTCTGATCCCTTTATTTCATATTGAATAAGTTTTCTGTGATTTAATAATACTTTTTGGCTTTTGTTTTGCAGCGATTGTCTCAGACCTTAAAGTTAGGTATCCTATCGAAGACGGGTCGTGGAGGCAGTGCTATATCATTGTCCTCTAAATATGACCAAACTTTTTGACGGATTTCAGATTTGGAGCACATTTTTGTTTACACTTTAAATTGTATTTAATTTAAATTTTAAACTATTTTAAAAATATGTTTAAATAAAACTAAAATAATAGAATTTTCTACAAAACGATATGCTTTAAAAACCATAAACATTTGATGTAATATTTGACTATTCTATACAACAGATGCCGTAAAATGTGTTTTTGATTAAATCATGAGATTATTTGATAGAAATATAGCGAAATATTTTAATTGTCGAGACATTACAGTAATTATAAATAAATGCTTTTATAATAAAATTACGTTATATACAGTATTAAATGAAAGGACACTCATACATTTTAAATATTTTAAATACTGTATCTCCAACTATTTTAAATACATTTAATTTAAATACTTTATACTTAAAATTGTGGTTTAAATTGAATTCTTACATAAAATTTAACTAAAATAATTTAACTTTTTTCTATTTAAGTGCTCTCTTTGTGTAATTTTCACATTAAATTTACTATAAATACATTAACATTACATAAGAAAGTTTTTAAAATAAAACAAAAGTCAATTATTAAATAGTATTATAATTAACAGCATTTTCTAAACATTCGTGAATTTGTCTCTCAATTCAAATTCTGCTCTATTTTGAGACAAACGCCAGAATTTGACGCAAACGCAGACTTACTATCAATAGGTTTAGTGATTGTCAGCACAGATATGAGCGAAACCGAAACCACTGAACCATCACTCCTGAGGGCAGAGAATATTTCGATCTCGAAATTGACACCAGAATTGATCCAAAGAGCGGAAGCGGAGGTCAATGAGAAGGAGAATTGGAAGGAACGAGACATTCAGGCGCTCCGAGAGATCGTACAAAGTATGAACATTTCATTCACCACTTGATCCATAATATTGCCCTTTTTTTACATTGCATTTGATATTGTATTTCGTAATTCTTTCATCGCTTTGATTGCAGATGAGGTGTCACTGCATTCGCAGAGCGACGACGCATTCCTCCTGCGCTTCTTGAGGGCCCGGATGTTTGATTACGACAAAGCGCTTCATCTCATCAAACAGTACTACTATTTGAAAGCCAATAATCCGGAACTGTTTGTACCGCCGAAGCAATTGAAATGCGTGTTCGACACCAAAACGATGACAGTGTTGCCGAAGAAGTGCCCGTCGGGTGAGACGATATACGTGGTGAGCGCCGGCCACTGGAATCCGCGTCGATTCACGTTTGACCAGTTGGTGGCCGCGAGTATTGTCAGTCTGGAGAAGGCGGCGATGGATGAGGTGACACAAATCAATGGTCTCATTTGCATCATCGACATGACTGACTTTGGTTGGCAACAGTTGCGCCGATTCGGGCCCTCACAGGCCAAGAAGATGGTCCACATTATCGACGAGTGTTTGCCCATACGTTTCAAAGCCATTCACGTTATCCACGAGTCAACGCTGGCGGACATCGCGTTCACAATACTCAAGCCATTCCTCAGCGAAGAGCTGCGCCAGAAGATCACTTTCCACGGATCAGAGTTGTCGGCATTGCATTCCATTGTCACCGCAGACATACTGCCCGAAGAGATCGGCGGCCACTGCGGCTCCATAGACGCCGACCAGTGGTACGAACAGATCATTTCCAGCGAAACATATTTGACGGAAAATCGAGAGAATTATGGCTTCAAAAAAGTGGCCGATTTTAATCAGATCTCCGATTTTCATAGCATTGAAAACAGTTTGTTTCGCAAATCGCAAACATGTAATGGATATCTATTTGATTACTATAAGCCATCGCGGGCTGAATGATCTCATCTATTGGTTTGCTTTTGACACAATATTCTTGTAATATGTGTTTGCATTTTATTTATTTTACCATAATCTGTATATTAATGTCCATAAAATATTTATTTTTGTAAATATTCTCTTCACTCAAACGAAACAATTTATTTGTTTCCTTAGAGTTTATTCCATCACTTATTGTCCCACAAAATGTTTGCTATAAAATTCAATCATAAATTAGTGTAATATACAAAATAAAAGTCTAATTTATTATTAAAATTAACTAAAATGTAAATTATTTTGCATTAAAATGAATATTATAGCCAAAGAGCGCACACGTAATGTAAACCAAAAGTCAAACAGTTATATGCAGTCTATATAATACAGAATTGCATATGAATTCTGGTAAACAAATGGGGCGCAGAATCTGACCACAAAATGCATTGAATCATATATTCTTGTTGTCTCCCAAACGCCCTGTGATTTGTTTGAAATTTAAAAATTTAATATATTGTTACATAATATTTAAGTTAATATCAAATGATCTCGTTTTGGTGTCTCTCTATTCTCGTTAAAGAGTAAGTAATCGATCGATTCATTGGATATTCAAAACCATAAATTGAATTTCGGAATTCAGTATTGAATTATAATATATTCACACAAATCGTCCCCAAAAAACACACGAGAATTATATTCCATAATATAGTGTACAATACTTGTCGCCTGAGTTGCAAACGCTATCGTTTGTTAAGTATTTTCCGGTAATCATTGAAATGTTTTTTCTCTCGTTTTTTCTCTTTGCTTATCAATAATTTTTAAGTGGATTTCTTAATTGAAACCCTTATCGCTATTAAATAATAAAGTCGTCAATAGAAGGCTTTCTTTTAAACCAAAAAAAAACTAAAATTGATTTCCAAAAGTACTGTTAAAAAGTAGATAGAAATTAATGCGAGCGTTGAATCAATTCATTCATTCAATGTTTTTATGTCTCAATCGAGAGTAACACAGAATTTCCTCTCAGTTTTGCGCAGAACTGTCTTAGAATTACTTGAATTGAGTGCCAAATTGACTCCAATGGCCAGTAAAAAGGTATTGATAGGAGCGTCGGCCGCAGCGGTGGTGGGATTCCTCTTCTATAAGACTCAGTGTCCGCGACAAGGGTATGATTATTAGATTATATGACAACAATCATTCATATGTATTAACTTTTTGCTCAATTGTTTCTATACTATTGTATGTCTAATCTCTTAATTAATACTTTATTCGCTTCACTCATAACTTATAGTTAGACTTATCTAAAAATAACTCTTCTGTCGGCTTTTGATAATTTCAACTAACTTTCATACTTATGTCTATAAATTGACAAATATTTTCTGTATTTTTTCTATAATTATATTTATTTAATAATAATTATAGAATGTATTCAATCTTCTATTAGTAAAAGATTATTAAATATTATTATAATGAATATCATATGCTAAGTGCTAATTGAGGTGTATTTTATAAATATTATTTAGTTATATTTTATAAATTACATAAATTACTATTGAATAAATATGTAGCAGATATTATTTTCAACAAATATTTATCAACTAAATATTGTAATTTATATTTTATTTTACAATAATAACTCAATTCACAACTAATTTTATAGTTTTATAGTATATTTAGAAAAGAATTTCAAAACATTTGAAAATTACACTTTTATTCTAACATATATTGAGTAAAATCTGTTTATTTTTCTAATAAATAGAAATACTATTTATTTTACTTAAAATTAAGTGATCGATAGATTGGATACATGTATGGATCGGTTTTCATGATTTTATTTTATCCCATAAAACCATTAACTGAAAGGCAAAAAAATCTATTATCAAAGATATGATTCTCATGTGTTTGCAAGACATGCGCCAAAAACAAGGAATCCTTTATGTATTTTAGGTCTCATTCAAGTAAACCGTTTGCCAATTATTCTGTGATCTTGAATTGTCCTCTGATTCCTCTCTCACACCACAACTACAAGAATATCTTTCTTTATGCAAAACCATTGATTCGTTTAGAAATCAAAGGCTTATGTCATAGAAATCACAGATGCTTTCGATAACCTTTTTGTTTTACAAATTATAATCAGCTTTTACTCGCATCTAATAATAGATTTTTAATATTACAAAATCTATTGAATTAAAATATAGACATATTGTCTGTTCATTGTATAGATTTTCAAATATTTTTATTTTTGCAAATCTGTACTTAATTTGTTGTCTGAATAGAAATCAAGACTCAAATTACATTTAATTCTACTAATTCTAAACGATATCATACATGATATCATATATCTGTTAGAATAACTAATTTATAATAATTTTAAATTAATTAAATTGAAAGAGTAATTTTATTTTAAACAAAATGAGAGATTTTTAAAACAATTTTTTGTAACACAAAAAGTTCATAGATTTTTACAATAAATGCTTTATTTTAAATTACATTCCTTTTGATCCTTAATGTAGTTAACGATAAAATAAAAACTCAAATTGTTATCAAAAAATTAATGATAAGAATAATGGAAACACATATTTGAGAGCATAACTCAAATCCAAATTGTGATAACTATTTCGATACCAAATATTACATTAATAGATACATTGGAGGTGCAATCGGGGAGGGAGAGAGAGAGAGAGAGAGAGAGAGA